TTATCTAACACTTAAGCTATCATTTATTATTATTCATTGATGTGTTAGCCTCTTTTATTACTTAATTTGTTTATATTATTTATCAAGAGAGAAATTGCATTGTAAAATCACTTTGATAAAGTGTGGGTCGTGTTGAAGTTCTTTAAAGATTAATATTGTATAAGGATCGGTACTCCTTGTTGTAAGTTACTGTGTGGGTCATATTGAGATTCCGTAAAACTCAATAGTGTGGGTCATATTGAAGTCCCATAAAGCTCAATAGTGTGGGTCGTGTTGACGAGACGTAAAGCTCAACATTGTATAATGATCGATGCTCTTTGTTTGTAAATCACCGGAAGCGTTGTAAAGGGTTGGATTGCACCATAAGTCAATCAAAATAATGAAAAGGCATTACTCGTGCCGGAAAGTTTGGTAACAGAGAACTTAAATCATTGTTTTGGATCGAACTTCCACAATTATGTCATTTGCATCCCCTCTCCCTTTTACTTATCATTTTTATATTTGTACTTACTATTTGAATTAATCTATTTAGCCCCCGTTTGGGCCACCTTTTTATTTCATTAAAATAAAAATATGATTGTTATCCATCACATCAACATTTAAATTCAAAATTTTTATTTTTTGTGTAGGCCCCGATAACGATTATAATTTTCATTCTCATTCTATAAAAAGGTGGCTCAAATAGAGCCTTAGTCTTTACTTGCTTGAATTTAGATTAATTTTTCGAAAAAGTTTTTAAAAACCAATTCAACTTCATCTTAGTTAGTTTTTCTTGGGTTTCATTTTGTCTCAAGAATATAAACAAAAACTTCAATCAAACACAATTAACACCAAGATTTTTCGTCCTAAAGCTCAGATGTTCAACCAAATGGTCGACTTATCACGTTGATCATCCATAAAAGTGGTTGTCGCTCGGATGTTCAACCAAATGGTCTACTCATCATGTTGAACATCTCCCTGAAGCTTGGATGTTAAGCCAAATGGTCTACTCACTAATTTTCTCTCAAACGATTACACCAAGTAACCAGTGGTTACTTCTCACCAAAAAACCGACAAAGAACCCTCGCACACTCCATGTTACAAATATCACCAAGAAATCTACAAGTATGAAGTATCTAAAGAAAAAAAAAACCCAGAAGATTTTCAGAGAGAACTATAGAGAGCAAGATGAGAGAAAACCATACAATCACTTAAAAAATGAGGAGTTTCAAAGCCTTATAAAAGATATAGACAAATTAACCTCACATCAAAAGCTACAAATCGACCACTTGGCACCATCTAAGCATTTTAAAGTATCTGAACTAAAGTCACATTTGACAAATGCAAAAGTGCATAGAGGGAGGCAACCGAATCAAGCTTGAGTTTTGGGCTTTCAAATTAGAGTGCATCAATGGGCTTTAATTTTGGTTTCAGGTCCAGCAAGGTGTTAAGCATATTCCAACAATCTCCACCTTACTTGGCACCTCTTGATTTTTCATAGTGGACTTAGAGATTAACACCTCCATTCGTTTCATTTGCTCGAGTACCTGCACAAACATTTAATCAATATTAACATTAAGGAGATTTAAGCAATCCCTAAATTTATGCAAATGAAGTATTTTAGTACCCATATCTACAAGGTTACATTTAGTAGAGACTTTCACAATTTTCATGATTTCTTTTTTCTAAGATCTCTCTTATACAATGAAATATGACATCTAAAGGTTTAATTCTATAATGTAAAAAGGATTCCTGCTTAGGTGTATTGCAGATTGACTATCGAAATACAAGATAGCATTATTATCAGAAAAACAAATTTCATTTAACAAACCTTTTAACCAAATACCATCCTTTACATCATCCGTAGCTACAATGTATTGACCTTCAGTAGACAATAGAGCCACAATTTTTCGCAACTGAGATTCCCAACTAATACAAGTATTATTTAAAGTAAACACAGGCATAGGGGTGACAACAAGCCGAGCCAAACCGAGCCGAGCCACAAGCCGAAATTTGAAGCTCGAGTTCTGCTTGAGCAAAATGGGTTCGGGCTTTTTTAGCCCAAGTCGAGCCCAGCCGAGCAAAGGCTCGGAAAAAAATTTGAGGCTCGGCCCAAGCTTTTGGCTCTGGCGACAACGAGCCGATCCGATTTTATATATATAACACAAAGGCAACACAACTACCTTTAAATAGGCAAATACACAGCTGCTTCTTTCCCCTCTTCCATTTAAATTTTTTAAAATTTTATACGGGCCACATGGGTCGGGTCGATTTCCCAAAATGGGGTTCTGCCCGATCTTCAGCTCGGTTCTGCCCAGCCTCAGGTCAGGCTAGCGAGCCAAATTGACATCCCTACATAAGCAGAAGTGGATTTTTTATTGTCACTGTTACCAGCAAAATTTGAATCTACAAAACCATTCAAGTTAATACCCTTTTTATCCTTATTAAACATTATCCCATGTTATAGGTTCCTTTTAAATACCTTAACAACCATTTCATGGCTTCCCAATGGCATTCAGAGTTACTCAAAAATCTACTAAGGACACTTATAGGAAAGGCTAAATCAGGTCTCATACAAACCATGATATACATAATTGAAACATCAACATTTGCATAGGGAATTTTATTCATCCTTGGTTGCTCATCTTCAGATTTTGAACACTATTTAGTGGACAGTTTAAGGTGACTAGCTAGGGCCAGAGTTACTTCTTTAGCATAATTCATAGAAAATCTACTTAATATTTTTGTAATGTAAGATTGCTAAGTTAAAAGGAATTTATTTTTAATTCTATCTCTTCTAATCTCAACTCCTAAGATTCTTCTTGCAGGCCCTAAGTCTTTCGTTTCGAATTCAATTTCTAACTTTTGTTTTATCTTATTTATCTCAGTTACAACACACCCTGCAAGTAATATATGATCAACATATAACAAAAGATAACAAGAATTTGAACCTCCAATACCTTTAAAATAGAAACATGTATATACTCGCTTCTGTTGAAATCAAGTCCCTTGATAAATGTATCCAACCTTATATACCACTATCTCGGAGCTTGTTTCAAATCATACAAAAAATTATGTAAAAGATATACATAGTTTTCTTTTCATTTTTGTTCAAAACCCTTTGGTAGAGTCATATAAATCTTTCCATCCAAGTTTCCGTTTAAGGAAGCAGTTTTTACATCTAACTTTCTAGTTCAAATTCAAATTGAGTAACATGAGATAGTACAACTCTTGTGGAAGTATATTTGACTATAGGAGAGAATATTTTATTGCAATCAATTCCTTCTCTTTGGGTATACCTTAGCAACTAACCTGACCTTGAATCTTACACTTTCATTTTTGGATTCACCTTCTTTTATTTTATAAATCCACTTACAGTCGATAAAATTTTGTCATTTTGGTTTGTTAACTAAGGTCGAGGTCTTATTTTTGTCCAATGAAAGTATTTCATCTTTCATGGCTACAAGACAAAGGCTTGCATCTTTTCCTCCAAAAGCCTCTTCATAGGAATTAGGTTATTGTTCAAAAAATTCTGCACACCAAGTGCAGTAACAAAATCTACTCCATTAAATTTGGATGGTGGTCAAAGTTTTCTTCTCACATTATCCCTAACAAGACGATAATTTTCTAAAGGATTTTCAGGTGGCATGGGTTCATTATATTCAGGTTCAGGTTCTGGATTTAATCCTCATTTCCCATATTTGAATGTCAAGAAAGAGGTCAGTCTCAACATAATTTTTATTCTAAACATTTTCAATAATAGGATTATCCTTTTCTTTTGTACAAGGCATGTCATTTTCATTAAAGACTACATTTCTATTGATAATGACTCTATACCCACCTTGACCCATTAGCCAAATTCCCTTTCAACCCCTTCACCGTATCCTAGAAAAATTCCTTCAATGGACCTGGGTTCTAATTTCCCTTCATTCTAATGCGTATATGCAGGACAGCCAAATACTCTCAATTTGGAATGTCAATAGGATGGACATTCCAAACATGATAAGGAGTATCGTAATTCAGGGATTTATTAGGACATTTATTTATCATATATGATGCAATCTTTACAGCCTTTCCCCAAAATAATTTTGGAAGACCAGAATTGAAAAGCATGCATCTAACCTTTTCTAAAAGAGCCATGTTCATTCTTTTAGTCCATTCTGTTGAGGGGTATAGAAGATAGTCGTTTGTCTAAGAATACCATTCGATTTACAAAAAATATCCAACTCTTCATTCCAAACTTCAAGGCCATTGTTAGTTCTAAGAGTTTTAACATTTTTATTGACTTGATTTAGAGTTTTCCAACCTTAAAAGTGTTGGCAAGTGTCGGATTTGTTTCTCAGTAGGATAATCCAACTTTTCTTCCTTTTAGTTGGAGGGGCAATTTTATAGAAGATTGTGATCCATGGAAGCTGACTTTGTGGCATGCTTTGAGGCCGCAGTTCAATGATATATGGTTGTGAAACTCTAGTTTGAAACTTGGATCAAGGTATGTCTTATTCATTTCAGTTTTTGAAAATCATTGAATATTTAGATTCTTGAATTCAGGGTATATAATTTTTCTAAAGGTTTACGTTTCATCATTGGAGACTGATGTATGATTGATGAGGACAAACTTTTTCTTTCCTACAAGTTGGGACTAACTTGCTGCTGGAATAATGAGTTGCATTTTTCCTCTATTATTGGGAAGCCAACAAAATACAAGATGGCTGTGTTTATAAAATAAGTTTTCTTGGAAGAATTAAGAGAGGAAAAAAACTCGGAAGAAACGTGTGAAATGGGATGAAAGTACATTCTTTAATGATGTGCACAATGGAATTCATTTTTATCTCAGTACATACACATAAATTTGATCCTAACACTCTATTAGTTTGGACTATAAATTTTAAAATTTAATGTAGTCTACCCTATCAAACAAAATGATAAACATGGGAATGCACGAATTTAACGGCCTTGCGGCATTATACTTGGACAAATACTCTAGAGAAGATAAAAATGTTCAAGCAAAGAGTTAAGATGGTTCATATAGATGGAGAAATCTTGCCGTGAAGATCAATATCCATGCCATTGTCAGCAATTGAAGCAAACATCCATAAATCATCAGAGCTTAACAACTGCAAAGACAGTACAGAAAATTTAGTTGAAGGGAATCCAAAAATCCCAAATCTAGTAGCTATAAAAATGAATATCTTTACTAAGGTGGTCAATAGCAATTCATACTGTTATGCATATAACAGCTAAAATTTTCAGCTCTTGATGTCTGCTTACTAGTTTCTTCTATTGACAGTATTAAAGAATTAAGTATAAAAGTTACTTGTAGAATGGCTAAACTTTTCAACTTGTAATGGCTCGTTTAAAGTTCTACATGATATAATAAATGATGATTGAATGCAATATTGTTGCCCTTGCCTTGATTTGAAGCTGTAAGAACTTAACATAATGGACAGCCTCTTCTAGCATAGTGCTGATATCGACCTGAGGTAGTTCATTATGAAACTCGGTTAGAGTATTCCTTTTTATTGAACAAAGTTATGGCCATATTTTGTACGTTTGTCTGGACAGAACAATCAAAGAGAGAAGTGACGTTCCATAAAATAAATGAGACGTCGCTCCAGTCTTGTTCATTCAAACATACCAAACATGCCACCTTACTATGTTATGTGGAAGATTAAGTAGTAGTATGCTTACCTTTGTCCCATTGGGTACAAGATTTTGCAAGATTCTCATTCTCTCATTGATTCTCTCTCTTCTTCTCTATAAAATTTCATAACAACATAAATCAAAATATTGAAAACGAAAATATATAATTAACCAGAAATATTTTAATTTTGTGGATTGAAATGTTACCTCCACAAAATGTTACCCTTGCATAGATGCTTTGTGGATCAGTTGCAGAACCTCTGCTGGCTCTTCTCTTTCCATTCGAGTTAATGGTGGCTAAGCCTTGGGACTCTGAAGTTTCTTCATTTGATTCTTGAGAACCATTAGAATCATCTTCAATGCTCCAAGAACTGGAGCTCTGTCCATTTCCTCTAGCATTATAGGTATCTTCTTCGTCATTGCTATTTCGGATCAATTTCTTGTTCTTTTTCGATTTTGAGTCTTTGCTCCTTTTATTTTTTGTTGCCTGGATTCAGCAATCATAACTCATGAGAAATGACAAACAAACATACATTGAATATGGAGAGAGTTTAGGAGGTCAAACATAAATGATAAAACTATTATCTTGTCCAGTACTTTGTGTTAAATATAAACTTAATTTAAAGTGGGCTAAACATAAGTACTTTGAATAATGTTATTTGTAGTAGCTTACAGTCGCAGTTGCCCTACGTGGCATACATATGACGATTAATGATTTGAGGAATGAGGCAATAAAAAACTAACATATTAATGCATCAAATCACTAACTGCCACATGTATATTACGTAGGACGACTACGATAATGAACGACCACAAATAGCAATACTCTAAGTACTCTCTGTGAATTATCATTTATGGGGATGGGCTGTGGGCACATTTATTGGAGCAATTTGGTAGATCGCGAAAAACAAACTTAGTTCTTTATACTCACATCTCTAGAAACCAAATGCGTTCTTTTGTTAGGATTTTCGGATGAATTATCTTCTTCAGCTCCATTCTGAATTTCTAGAGGGTTGAATTTCCTCTTAAGCTGCATAGAATCATCAGTTGCTGAAGTCTGCCTTTCTGCATTGCCCAATTGATTAGTGCCTTTTTCTTCTTTCATATAGATCAGAGTTTCTTCCATCAAATCATCAGGAAAGACTGGAAACCTTTGATCAAAGGACTCAAATTCTCTATTTATTACATGAAAAAGATTATCACTATTGTCTTCATAGGGAGACAATTCACTACAACTTTCTTGAGAATTACGGTAAAGGTTAGTGAGAGTAGTATCAGAAGAGAATAAAATACTCTCATCGAGAACTGAAGCCACATTTTCATCGTTAGGCACAAAATCTTGTGGGATTTCGAAGCTGAAAACGTGGTTAGTGTGATTCGAAAACGAATCATGATCAAGCAAATGTAGCATGAAATAAGCATCTTGATCACTTGAAAGCATTCCCCTAGATTCTTCATCAAAAAAAGCTTCAACAGGCTCCATCTCCTGAGGAAAAAAGGCCTTCGGTATATTGGGAATTACAAGTAAACTTCTGATAGTTGAGCTAATTTTAATACACGGTTTGAATCAAAGAAAATTCATTCACATATATATAGTAGTACCCCAGAAAGAAAGAACTGTTCATGGTGAGAATTAACTTGATTTTTCTATTACTTGATTTTATTGTATCAAAATATTTAACTAGTTTGGTTCTAATACTTTGTATCCTATCTCACGAGTCAACTTGGGGCTCATAAACAGCAAAGTACAACTCAGAGGGGGACCAAGTTCATCCAATGATGGATTAAAATATTTTCATTCCTTTCATGATCTTAAAAAACCTTAAAAGACTTTCTAAACAACAATAATAACAGTAACTAAGGAACTAAGTTTTGTTCTCAACAAACGTTAAATCAAATAGATGAAGTATTTTTTGTCACTTTATTACAGTGTTCTAAAAATCATAAAGCGTAATGAAGCAGGAAGGCCAAGTTTCGACCTAGAAATAAAATTAAAAAAAAAGTTTTCTTATTTTAATTTATTTTAAATCAATCTAAAATTTATTTAATAATTAAAGAAAAACAATTAAAAAACGTAAAAAAAAAAAAAGCGTAACTAGGCTCAACAAAGAAAAGGAGTAAAAAAGTGCGAGACTAGGCATTTTGCGCCCACTCCATGCCTCGGCGGAGCTTTTTAGAACACTACTTTATTTTTAAACCCACCGAAAGATGTATAGCTACTACATCTAGATCCTTAGCATAAATCATTAGTTTTGTTCTACGTCTCACTTGGAAATGCTAAACATGCAATTAAAACTGATTAGAATTGCTCAAGTGTCTTGACCTAATCATTTGGTGATCATTAACATAATTCAATTCTTGTAATATGATAATATAGTTTGGTGAATGAAAGCGAGAGTACTTGAAAGAAAAAGAATTGGAGGAATAATAGAGAGAACGTGGAATTATGTCCTTAATATAATAATCAGTGGGAATTCTGTTGAGTAATGAAGAAAATGAATGAGATAAGTATGGCATTCCTTAAATTACTCTAAATCCGACATGATAACCGCCAACCTCGGCTGTTGTCTCTTCGAATGCCTAAAACTTAAACTAATGTCAACAATTAAGTTAATACTTCATTGAAGGTTTATGTGGTCAGATACGTTTTGTCACAAAAAGTAACTATTTAATAATGCTATTTACATGAACTCACTATAGTAGTCGTCATACATAACATGCATATGACGGTTAATAATTTGATGTATGAGACTATAAAAAACTATCACATAAATATATCAAATAACTAATCGTCAAGTATGTATCACGTAGGACGACTACGAAAAGAATAATATATGTATTAATGATAACGAGCATATTCATGAAAAATGAACTCATGCAGTTGAGTTGCAAATTTATTAGAAACAAGGTTTAGCCCCTGTTCGGTGGGGATTAAAATCAAAATTTTAATTTAAATCAAAGTCAATAATTAATTTTAACCACACATTTCATCGAATTCATAAGTTTTCAACCATGCGCATCATCGTTTTGTTGTAATTATTCAATAATCATGCTAAGGACAATAAACACATATTCTAATTGATAGTTTGTAATGTATACCCGCGGAAGACATTTTTGTTTATGAATATTACCAGCTAGATTTTCATCTCCTTACTCCTTAAAAATAATCAGCCGTCAATGGGGTAAGTCACGGTATGGAGAGGAGAGGAGATCTAGCCATTATTTAGGAAATTATAAAGCCGGCTCATTACCGACTCTAACCCTAATTCGGGTTTACATAATTCCGGCCTATATACTTAAAATTACCACATTATAATAATAATAATAATAATATAACACGTAAGATGTACAATGGCCTAGGTGATCATTAACATATTGGGCCTAATCACAGTATCATTGCAAATCATACATCTAACTCCTAAAATTCGCAATCAAATGGAAGCCACATAATAGAATTAGTCTAACATTCTCCCACTTGGACAAATATTTGATTGATATTGAACAAAACTTTTAACCTCCGAGTGAGAGTACATAGGTGCGCAAATAAGTATAGCTGCAATGATAATACCTTAAACAACATGATCCGATCCAACAAAAATGTTAACATCGAACATGGAAGTCGTTACACCAATCAAACGATGTAAGACCACTTCATAGCTACAAATGTCAACATCTTTATATACATGGATCCCTAGCCTCCAACCAATATGGTAGTATGCAGTACGACCTTAGCGCCAATGTGATAAAAAATTGTGCTAATTCATATCAGTCCTCAAAATGTTTCAAATCAAAATGAAGTCACATAACTCTAAAAGATGCTCATCCTATGTCTTTAATTTTTATATCTCGAGATCAAAATAATATCAAAATAAAATATATAAGTCAAATGCATGCTCAAAATAATTTATGGATATGGAAAAAATATATTTTATTATTGGAAGAGGGTTTACCCGAAAAACATATAGGTTACCTACATAACCCGTGAATGGATCAAGGCAAAACGTAGTTCTCTTACATAAATAACTCTTACTAACCAAAAACATCAAATGTTTCTACAATACCCATATTAGTAACATGTGTCTGAAACATTTTAGGAGCGAGCCCCTTAGTCAAAGGATCTACAATCAATGCCCTCTAGTTGAGTGAACCCTTTTGCAACTAATCTCGCCTTCTTTCATTCAACATTCCCTTTTGAGTCCAATTTGCTTTTGAAGCTACACTTGTTATCTATGGTTTTAACATCCGGAGGAAGTTCAACAAGTTTCCAAACTTTATTGGCTCTATAGAATTCATTTCATCTTCCATTGCATTTATCCATTTATGTGACTCGAGACTTGTCAATGTTTGATTAAAAGTAATATGGTCAACAATATGCCAAACATTAAAGTTACTCTCCAACAAATATGTAATATAATCACTGGGCAATGTAGACCTTCTTTCCCTTTGCGATCTCCTAACCTTGGCTCAATAACTGACTCAATCATTGTTGGTGGAGGAACTTGGAGTTCCTCTTGGCACCCAGTTTCTTCATTAACAATTTCAACTAGTTGAGGTATAACTCTCTCATGTATGACAGGAACTGGAAAAATAACTTGATTCGGTTCAACAAAAAATTCCTCAAAGTTGAACTCCCACTATCACCAAAGTCATTTTTCAGAAATTTAGCAGTGATTGACTCAACAATTTTGGTGTCACAGTTGGGACAATAGAAATTATACCCTTTTGATCTATCTAGGTACCCAATAAAGTAACCAAGTGTAGATTTTGGGTCTAATTTCTTCTCAAATGGATTATAAATTCTCACCTCAGCTGGGCATCCCCAAACTCTGAAATGAGTCAAACTTGGCTTACGTCTTGTCCACAAATTGAAAGGTGTCTTTGCAACAACTTTACTTGGAACTCTATTCAAAATATACATAGCAGTTCTCAAAGCTTCATCCCATAGATATTCTAGCAAATTTGTTCTACTCATCATGCTCCTAACCATGTCTTTTAGAGTCCAATTGCGTCTTTCAGAAACGTCATTCTGCTCAGGTGTCCCTGGCATGGTGTATTGAGGCACTATGCCACACCCCTGTAAAAAAATTTGCAAAATCACCCATGTTTTGACTAGACTCATCATACTTCCCATAGTACTCACCACCACGGTCAAATCTTACAACTTTGATACTTTTTCCACACTATTTCTCTACTTCCATCTTGAAAATTTTGAATTTCTCAAGTGTATGGAATTTATCGTTAATCAAGTAAACATATCCATATCACGAGAAATCATCAACAAAAATTATAAAATATTTGTTCACACATATGGTGGAAGGTAAAGGTCCACTAATATCAATATGTATTAAGTCTAAAATACCATCACTCCTAGTGGAACTTTTCCTAGTGGATTTAGTCAACTTTCTTCTTATACAATCCAGACAAGTGTCAAAATCAGAGAAGTCTAGAGAGGAAAGTATCTCAACTTTAACCAATCTCTCCATCCTATCCTTTGAAATGTGACCCAACCGTTTATCCCACAACATGGAGGATGATTTACAAATTAGAGACATTTTCTTTGACACATTCGCAACACAAGAGTTTTCACCAAAATAAGCCAAAGACAATTTATATAAACAATCACATAAGAGGCCATGTCCAATCAAACGAGAATCGCAAAACAATTCAACCATTCCATTACCAAAATTAAAGGAAAAACCAGAAACATCAAGTTTCGATATAGAAATTAAATTACGTCACATTGTCGGTACAAAAACTATATTCTCTAAAACAAGAGAGAAACCAGAATCCAAAAACAACTTCCCTACTCCTATGAACTCAACATTCACTTGAACACCATTCCCAATGCACATGCTTACTTCTTTCTCATTTGACCCCCGTTTGTTTATGAACCCCTACAAGGAATTCGTAATATGAATACTGGCTCCCGACTCTAACTACCAAGAATTTAAAACAATCTTTCTGTCAGTAACCCTTCTTTTTGTAGAACTTCAATTGATCATTTTTCTTTATCGTTCATTTGGGACCACTAGAAGTTTGACTTCCAAAATTTTTGTTTTGCTGATTGCGATGTAACTTGTTACCTTTGTGGAACTTAACCTCATGGTTATGAGAAGACCACTTGTTCTGTGGTGGCTAAAAATCAAATTGCATAGTTTCAACATTTTCACGTCTCAACCTATACTCCTCTTGGGGTACATACAACAATAAGGTCATTCAAATCTCATTTATCTTTTTGAACATTATAAGCAATCTTCAGGTGATTAAATTGGTTCGGAAGGCTATTTAAAACATGATAGACCAGAAAATGCTCAACAATGAGAATCTTAAGAGTCTTTAATTGAGAAGATATATTAATCATTTTCATAACGTGCTCCCTAACTTCACGTGTATCGTCATATCTCATATTCATCTGTTTGTCCATCAGATCTCCAGTTTCAACTTTATCAAACTCAACAAATCTCAATCCTATGACATCCACAA